TGCAAAAGAGGTGCATTTATATACAGATTTTTGATATTTACCCCTAAAGAAATTCTTGTCACTTTTCAGGTCTATTTATTGTTCATTTTATCATTGGTATGTGACTTTATTTGAATGGCATAGTTGCTTGGGAATCTTATTGAAGCTATGCATCCTTTTGTGTAGAAAAATAAATTTTGTGTGCTATAGCCTTAAAGATCTACAGATTTGGGTCACGTAGATCTTTTGTTTATTTTTATCGGATTTCTGTCTCAATATTTTTTTTTTCCTTTTTGTCTTTTTTCGTGCCCAGCAACGGATCGCAACCCCCAGTGTCGCGCCCGTACCGGACCGGGACCGGCCACGGGATGGCAACCCTCGGTGTTGCTCCCGCCCCTCGCTCAGCCAGTGAGCGGCCGGTCTGTATGTGGGATCCGAACCCTCGGCGGGAGCGCCACCGCGCTTCCCAAGCGGCGCACTATAGCAGTGCGCCACCGGGCCGGCCCATGTCTCAATATTTTTGAAGCTAAAAGATTTTAATTGGATAGGTAGAGTACTGTGCTTGTCAATACTCAAGTCAAAAATCATGTAGAGGCAAATAGTGTGACATAGTTCATTTTAAACAAAGGACATCACTTTCACTGCAGGGTAGAAATAGATTACTAAATCCAGACATCAAGGGAAAGGCAAATTTGCAGAGCAGAGATTTATGTAATTCAAAGAGTTTAAAAATTACTAATTTGTTTATCTGTCCCTTACAAAAACTAGCTCCCTTTTTTCCTGCAAGATTGTAATGTAATTATATAAGCACTAGTCACTTGCTTGATGCATAACTAAGTTCGTCCTAATTCTCAAAACAGAAGAGAAAAGGTGGAAGAAACTTTCAGGCTGCTCACAGAAGGAATATGCTGAAAGGCCAATATGAGAAAGAAGCAGCAGATCGAAAACGCAAGCAAGAGGAACAAATGGAAACTGAGCAGTAAGTATTTTTTTATTCTAAATTTCTGGTTCTTTTTTAAGGCTAGCATGAAAATTTAAACAATAGACTTTCATTTCCAGACTTCATGAAGCCTTTTGAAAAAGTGACTTTTTCTATATGTTAGAAAAGAAAAATATTCAGTATATGATGATAATCATATTTCAGGCTTCATGCTTTTCTGAGAGGGTAAAATTCACTGAGGTAGTCACCCTGTGAATTATTTTTAAATTTAATCTGAAAGTGCAGATAGGATTTAACTATTAGTGGCTTTGCAGAAAATGTACTCATCCTCTATTATTTATGTGTATAATATATTAAAATATAGAAAGAGTGGTGAAAATATACTGGTGGAGAAAGAAGGAAATCCCCTTATTTGTGATACTACCAGCAGGCCTCCCCCTAATGACCAGCAAAATAAAAGCACAGTTGGAAACCCAGGAAGCCACTAAAAGTAAATATAAAGGCTGACAGGGTTTACATTAGGTATGTGCAATATAGATCAAATTCAAAGCTGTTTTCTGTTACGTTTTCATACTTGGAGATGGTGTATACTTGCTATGGGGAATTTCTTTCCTCTTTATTATGTAAAATGATTTAAAATAATTTAAAAGGAAAAGTAATAGCAATGATTAGACTTCATGTCTTTATTACATTAGTTTTTCTAGTTATCTTTAGACTGTCATTTGAGTTTTCTGTAGAATGCTTTTTTCTTGTGAAGCATCTTACATTCTGAATAAACTTTGTTTTTTTTGGTTGTTTTAGTGAGATGATTTTAAAAACATGCTCTAGGTCACTAAGACAAAGTTAATGATGAGCAGTGAATTTCTAAAACTATTCTTGAATAATTTTGTACTTTTTTCATTATATAATACATTCGTAAGCTGAAAGTATTTCTCAAGTATAGTATTTGACTCTGCCTTCTTAGTTGTTTGGAGGATATATGTATAAGCAGTATTAGCTGCTTGAGGGAGTAATTTAAAAATTGACTTAAAGCTCAGAAATGTTACTCCCTTCAGTCTGTTGGAGTTTGACCGCTTCTGTAAATATTTAAGTTATTTTTTGTTACTGATCATTTTCTATCTTCACTGAAAAGCTGATGGACTGTTTGTTGTTTTTAACTTTTTTGTACTCCCAAAATTAAGATATAAAATTAGTTGTTAGTAAATCTAGCCCAACCCTTTTTCAGTATCTCAGAGTTACCTTTATGTATTTCTTTTGAATGTCCTCCAATGTAACTTTCTCAAATTCTAATATTTGTGTTTTCTTTCCTTCTCCTGTTATTACAAAACTTTGTACTTGGACAGTTTTGCTCTGTAAAGCATTTCAAATGCAACCTGTGTGAAATGCATTATGCAAAATAAAGTTTATTGTATTGTATTCCCAGCCAAACAACATGTAATCTACAGTAATAAAAAATATATCTCATTTTGGGCTCAAAGCATTAATCCAGTTACTGAAAAGAGAATACAAGTGGAGCAAACAAGAGATGAAGATATTGAGACAGACTCATTGGACTGAATTTTCCCCTTCCCCCCTTGATGGAAGAATGTTCCAGATTCTAAATTGAGGACTTCATTATTAATGTCATTATTACTGTGTTATGATTGTTAACAAAATTTCCTGTAAGGTACACACTACATATTAAGATTGGCCATCATTCCTGTTAAGTTTTTTTACCGAGCTTAAAATGAAGCTTTGTGTTTGAGTTATAAGAAGCTCAGATGAAGATGGTGGTTGTACATTATTTCATTTAGAAAATATAAAAATTCATTTTGTTTTGATGCTAGGTGTTAAACTGGAATAGCTATTACACCCCTGAGAATGGGGCAGTTGTGCCCTTCCCTTGACATTCCTTTGTTGTTTAATTCTTTAGATTCTTAATTGTTTTTTTTTAATCCTGAGAGATTAAACAGTAGACATGTTAAGAAAAAAATGAAACTGTAACCAAAATTTTAAAATAAAGTTTTTTTTAAAAAAAAAACACCTGATTTTTAGATATTTTTTTTGTTCTTGTCTATTTCAACTGGTTCATAGTATGGACTAAATATTAAGATTTCAATTTTAAATGGTTATTTTTGTGATTGATAGTAAAGTGGTACCTTTTCATTTGTGAAATGGTATGTAAGTGTTAGTGGATGTCATTTAAGTTTGATATATTGGCCAATAAAAAATTTTTAATGATAGTATTACCTTAACACAGTCTATTTAATCTTAAAGCTAACTTCAAAACCCCTCAAGTTATTTACTCTTTGGAAATGTGGGGGACAATTAAATTGGTCTCTTTCGACATGCTGCTTTTAAAAATAATTGTGATGTAAAATCCATTAATTTGTAGTTATTCTCTTCTTCTTATGGCCTCTTTGTCCATTGGCCCTGAAATTAGTCTTTTAATAACACACTATTATTTAATGTTGGAAAGAAAATTTAACCATAGTTACTTTTAAATCATTTTATTTGTGATGTCATTGAAAAATCAGATTGTTAAATTATTTAACATGTTAATTTGAGTTTTGGTTACATTTATACTAATGCTGTGGAACTGCATAGTTCCAAGAAGTACAGTCAATTCCTGGTGGTCTAGGCCATTGATTATTTTAAGGAAAAAATTAAATTTTACATAAGGGATTGTGGGCATTTGGTAATCAGTCACAAAGTTCCAATGTTTAATATTTGTGTTAACATTTGATAGGCAGAATAAAGATGAAGGAAAGAAGCCAGAAGTTAAGAAAGTGGAGAAGAAGCGAGGTTAGTTATTTCACTTTCTCAGATGTATAAAATTATACATAGAAAGGAAGCTATACACTTAATTTTTCATGTATCAGTTTTGGAATCAGTCTCATTTTATATTCTAAGAAATGTACAAGTATACATTTTCAAATCCCTAGTGGATTCTGTCTAAATTGCATTGTATTTTAGGCATAATAGGGTGAACTTGCTAAAGAGTCGTCTTTATATTTTAATGCTCATTATTTGATGACGTTAAATTTTTGTAACTGTGCCAAAAGCTGGGTGCTTTCCCATTTTTGACAAATCCCTTGGTTAAACATGTCAGGTAAGGCAGGTGTTTTTAGGACTGGAGTGTACAGTAGTTCATTATTGGATGCAGACTATTTATTTTAGAAACAAACAAAGGTAGATGGTGATTTTGTGCTTTTATGCTCCATGTTACTTTCCTAAACACTTTCACTAAACGTTTAGTATATTAAACCTTGAATGCGAAAATACTCAAAATATTAAATACTAAAAATGGCAGACAACTTTGCAGACTATTTATTTTAGAAACAAACAAAGGTAGATGGTGATTTTGTGCTTTTATGCTCCACGTTACTTTCCTAAACACTTTCACTAAACGTTTAGTATATTAAACCTTGAATGCGAAAATACTCAAAATATTAAATACTAAAAATGGCAGACAACTTTTTATTCTTAGCTAAGCTACTGTTCATGTATTACCAAGAACATTTTTTTTAGTTCACCAATTCTTTCCATTATACTTTGCTTAGACTATACAGAAATACTGGTTTGGAAAAACCACTTACTATTTTTCACATATTTTAATTTATAGAAACATCAATGGATTCTCGACTTCAAAGGATACATGCTGAAATTAAAAATTCTCTCAAAATTGATAATCTTGTAAGTGTTTAACCTCATTTAAAAATAGTGCTTTTATAGCTTCATGATTTTATGTAAATTTAAGATAAAAGGGACAATTATTGGTTATTTTATACTGCCTTATTTGATATTTTCAAAAACTAATCTTCAGAAATAGATTCTATTTGATAATTAAGTTATGAAATTACTGTTTTGTCATGAAGGATGTGAACAGATGCATTGAGGCCTTGGATGAACTTGCTTCACTTCAGGTCACAATGCAGCAAGCTCAGAAACACACAGAGATGATTACAACACTGAAAAAGGTAAGCGATTTCAAGTCCTGTAGATTTTAAAACTTCTTCATTAAAAAATAGGGTTTAAATAAAAAATCAATTAGGAAAACAGTTATGAATGTATATTATTTTCTCAGATACGGCGGTTCAAGGTTAGTCAAGTTATCATGGAAAAGTCTACAATGTTGTATAACAAGTTTAAGAACATGTTTTTGGTTGGTGAAGGAGATTCCGTGATCAAACAAGTGCTGAATAAATCTTTTGCTGAACAAAGACAGCATGAGGAAGCGAATAAAACCAAAGATCAAGGGAAGAAAGGGCCAAACAAAAAGCTAGAAAAGGAACAAACAGGTAAGTAGTAATAAATTTGAGGCCTGTTTTATAACTGTCTGCCAGGACTACTTTTAAAGATGGCTTTTATATGTAATTTCATTAGTAGCTACGTTAAATGAGAAAGTCTCATAAAATACTTAGAGGAATGTGTAGCATAGAGTACAGTGCTCACCTCTAGCTTTTGCTTTTCTTTTTCATTCAGTTTAAATTAGTAGTAGTTAAACCTTGCTAGTATTTTTCTAATATTTTCTTTTCATTTAAATGTGGGAAATTTTCTAACCTATACAGAGGTAGAGAAAAATGAACTTCCCACATCCCCATCACCCACCTTCAGCAATTATCAATGCACGATCATTGTGGTTTTATATCCCCTAAGCTTTCTCTGTATTACCTCAGGAGATTATTTTGAAGCAAATTATAGGTATGTCATTTCATTCATATTATTTCAGGATGTATCTATGATGGACATAAAAGAGAATTATAGTTATCATCAGCTCCCCCAATTCAATGTTATTAAACATCTTAATGGCAGATGCTTAAGGTAGAACCAACATTTCAAAAGCAGTTGAACTTTTTTGGCTCTCATTTATTTGGGAATGAAATAAGGGAGTCACTCTGAACTTAGTCTGGTTCTGGCAGCTGCCTCCTGCCCCCTCCAAAAAAAAAAAGTTAATGAAATGAGATGGAAATCTTCCCACTGTTTACTTATTAGGCACAAAATCATGTCAATTAGGAAATGCTATTTTTAACACTTTTTGTTCTAAAATACCCACAATGATAAATACAGATTTTATGATTCAGTGTTTTTTTCTAAGAACAAGTCATAATGTGCTACAGAGTTGTAGCATCCTATAGTATTTCAGATAACAGTAACACAATCTACTTCCTATACCCATAGATACATATAGTAACTCTGCTGCTTACTGTGCTTTAGCTACCAAAAGGATTTTGATAATGTAATGAGTTGACAGTACAGCTCTTTAATGAAGTCATTTTTTTTTTTTTGAAATAGCATCAAAACGCAATCCTAAAGTTCATTGTGAGGGCTGAATTACAATGTAATTTCAAATAAAAGACATTAAGTATTAGAAATTTGAGGGCCATGTGTTTTTGATTTTGGATCTCTAGAAGACATTGTAAAGTATAACTTCATAAACTCTTAAAGTTTTCCTATTGGAATCCTTCTAAAGGTTCAAAGACTCTAAATGGAGGATCTGATGCCCAAGACAGTAGTAATCAGCCACAACATAATGGAGATAGCAATGAAGAAAGCAAGGACAACCACGAGGCCAGCACTAAGAAAAAGTGAGGATGTGTTTTGATGGGTCTTCATGTGTGTTTTTCTTATTTAAGCTCCTATGCACAGTACTGTTCCAAGATTATTTGTATAAAGGGCTATATTTATATCACTTACTCTCTGAATCCAGTAAGGAAGTTGCAAATCAAAAAGGCAAAATAGGGCCGGCCCGGTGGTGCACTGCTACAGTGCGCCGCTTGGGAGTGCGGCGGCGCTCCCGCCAAGGGTTCGGATCCCACGCAGACCGGCTGCTCACTGGCTGAGCGAGGGGCGGGTGCAACACCAAGGGTTGCGATCCGTTGCCGGTCACGACAAAAAAAAAAAAAGGCAAAATAGTAAAAAAATTTCATGTACAGCAAATTTGCCACTGTATTCAAGGGAATGGAGCTAGGTGGGAGTCCAGTTAAAGAAAATAACTAACTACATATGCTTCTGGGGTTATGTCCCAATAAACCAATTGTTAAATTGAAAATAGTCTAAGTCAAAAATGCATTTAATACACCTAACCTACCGAACATCACAGCTTAGCCTAGCCTACCTTAAATGTGCTCAGGACGTTTACATTAGCCTACAGTTTGGCAAAATCATCTAACATGAAGCCTATTTTATAAGAAAGTGCTGGATATCTCATGTAATTTATTGACTACTGAAAGTGAAAAACAGAATAGTTGCATGGTACAGTATTCACTGAATGCATATCACTTTTGTACCTTTGTAAAGTTGAAATAATGTAAGTTGGGGACCACCTATATTTTTCCCTGGTCTACTTTTACTTCTACACTATTAATGACTTGCTTTCACACTTAAATTGTGAGCAAGAGGATGTTACGTTAAAAATTAGATGTATAATCACAGGCTACTTTGTATTTTACCCACTCTAAAATTACTTGCTATGGAACTTAGTTGTCCAAGTCTCAGTTTGTTCCGCTGTATGTTCTCTAAAGAGAATTCACTTTGAAACTGGGAATGATAGAGGGTCTGATCCATCATGCTTCCCTGAGTTATTTGCTTGATCTCCATGTTACTTTGGGAAGAAGATCTAACATGACAAAGTAAAATTTTGAACAAAGAAATGACAGTGTCTTAATAACAAGTCAAGAGTTTCTTTGTTGTTGTTCTGGTTTAGACTTTTGTGATTTAAAAAACATCATGCATAGATTCAATGTCCTTTTTTCCTCAGGAGAAAACTCTAATCCCAGTTGTCACACCTTTCTTTTCCCCTTTTCTTTAGGCCATCCAGTGAAGAGAGAGAGAATGAAATCTCTTTGAAGGATTGTACTTTAGACAACTAGTGTTGACATACCTGGAATATAAAGAACATTTGAGAAGTTTGTAATGGTTTCCATTTGAAATATTTAGACTGCTGAAAGTTTTAAATTTTTATAAGCATAGGTTTTGATGTTTAAAACTTTTGAAAGAGAAAATCCCTTCATCTTTGTTTAAAGTAATTAAACATTATTGCTAATTGTACTTGTGCAGTATTAACAGCTACATTATACAATAAATGTGGGTGGGAATCCCATTTGGAAAATGTTAAACTGCTTTTCCAGACATGGTTGTAGCACATTTTCAAGTAGTGTGTATGTTAATGTGTAATTGGTAGTAGAACCAAGTTACATTTTAAAAACTGCTATTTGTATAAACCTTTCCTCTTTTCCCAAGTACCGTGGGTTTTGTGCATAGTTTTTACAAATCTTGGATTTACCAGACTGTCTTTTCACTGTTTGTGGGTTTTGTAGAAGTTAAGCATTTTTATGGTAGATAAAATGTTACTTCTATACAAGTACTCACTCCCTTCTTTTATCAAAAATTCATTTTATTCTCAGTCTACACTGTGCTACATTATCCTGCTTCTTTGTAACAATGTGTGGTCTGTATGCCTTTTTGTATGACAACTAGATAACTAACTGACGTTTAAAGAGGTACAACATTCATGTTAACTTTTGAAGATAATTCAGCTTTGTGGCAGTTTAGTTTTGGTAGTTTAATTCAGTGGAATCATGTGACTTTCCTGTAGAGAACAGACTGTGTATAATATAGGAATGAATATGGCTTTTGGGTTCAACCATCTAAGATCCTTTACAGGCACTAATAACTAAAACTGAAAAGTAAATTTATTTTTGAGAGAAGTCTCAAGTTTCTAAGTTTTTTTTTTAAAAGTCACACTTATTAAGGAAATCATTTAGTATTTTTTTAATTGGAAAAAAATCCATCCATGATGCTTATGCAGTAAATATAAGTAAATACTATATAAGGAAACTAACATATTTGAAAACATGGCTATTTTAGAAAGGAATTTTATTTTACATGTCTATATCATACATGTAACAGGACTGCACAAAGTAGGAACATAGTTGCTTGAAGGTAGTACTTTGACAGTCTGTATATTGATGTATATGGACAAAATCAGGGTGAACCAATGTTAACACAAAATTTAAGGGTATATTAACAGTAAGAGAGCATATCTAAGTAAGATATTTTGAATATTAGGTCAGTCGGTTTTCAGTAGGTAGGATACTTCCCATGTTTTGAAACTATATGAATATGGGAAAATGACATTGCCAGTGTGTTTATGTGTGACATACACTGTATGTTTTGACAAGTTGAATTATTTCAATAACTGGACTTTTTTGCTTTTCAGAGGTCTTAAAATGGAACTAGGACCCACTATTTTAAGGGAACTCTGTTATTACATATTATATATACCAGTCATTATCTGTTTGGTTCTTAATACAGTTTTAACTTGGACACATTTATCCTAGTTAAGCTACAAGTGTCAAAGTGTAAACTTGTTTTGATTAAAGACATTTTCTATCAAACTCTACTACTAATTTACTTCTTTGCTATTTACAGTCAGCTCTCCACATCCACGGATTCAACCAACCATGGATCAAAAATATTTGGGGAAAAAGTCATTAACGATACAACAATAAAAAAATATGAATAAAAAAGCAATACAGTATAACAACTATTCACATAGCATTTATATTTGGTTATTACAAGTAATCTAGAAATAAAGTATACAAGAGGATGTACGTAGGTAGTACGCAAATACTACACCATTTTATGAGAGACTCAAGCATGTGTGGATACCAAGGGACAGCTGTACAAGTGTAAGTGATGGAATTCTGGATTTGCTGTCAAGGAAACAATTCCTAGTTAACTGGTCATAGAGATTGTGGTTTGGGGAGACAGGGTAACTAATCAGTAAGCTCAAGATGATAAAAATAAAGGAAATGTTATCTATCTTTTGTTCACTCTCCCTTTTTTCCCATAACCCAACAGATCTACAAAGTTCAACTTTGGGAGACACAGCAGCATTCTGATAAATTATGTCTGCTTGTACTGGCTGATCTTGCTCTAACCAGTTTATACATGTTCTCTTAAAGTACAGTTGACTTCTTTAATCTCAACCCCTCATTTCAAGAAACTTTCAAGAATTTTCAGGAGCGTTGGCTCAACAAACTGTACATGGTCAAAACTCCACAGCTGAACAGGCTGCTAAAATAATTCCAATGAGATAGCCAAAAGTATGCATAATATGTATTACATAAACACCTATTTTGTTTTTCTGATCACCGCATAATATTTTAAAGAGTAAGTTATGCATGACCCAGCAGAACTGATTACTGAAGGTTTTCTCAGCTGCCTGGAGAAATTTCAGATATACCATCTGAATCAAAAAAACCTGATTGCGACTTTGTTTGTGTGAACAATTTGACCAGAATACCTTAAGCCATATAGTATGATGATAAGTTTTTACCCAGTTTTTGCCAATACAGTGATGCAGCGTACTAAAAATGTTCTAACCACACACACTTACCTGATTAAAGATGTCAGGTCAAGATGATGTCCGCCATCTAATCCATCTAATCCTGTGCAAGAGCAAAGACTTTTATAGAGTTGTATGAGTGCTTCACTAACGTATTTTATCCCATTGGCCAGAGAAAGGACAATCTATTGGAAACAGCAAACCTGTATCATTAAACCCTTAAGAAATGAAGAAGCAATAATAGGCAGAAATGTGTGTATATTTGTGTTGTGTATTCTCCAACACACAGATGATGTTAAAGGTAACTGACTTTTCTCCCAGTAAAATTGCAATATCTAATTATTCTTACAGAATACTGAAACCTGAAAAAAATGTTTAAGGAAATAACTATTGCTTTTCTGTATAGTGATTTTGTGCATATGCATCCACTAATATATCAAAATCTAATTCGATTCAAACTACAGATGATTAATAAGTTCATGACATTTTCATATTTGCCTTTGCCTCATTAGATAAAATCATACATGTAACTAACAGTCATGTTGTATTTAATAGATTGAAATAGGCATTTTTAAAAAGCTGTCTTAGAACATGGACTTTATAAGCTCCAAATTATATGAAGTTAGGAATTTTTGACTTGAACTTGGTGAGGACCTGTGTAATTGATACACAACACACTGGCCAATTTTGGGAATAATCTGGTTAACCTTTCCTTGGTTTTACCAGGAAACAATATAATAGAAATGTGTCCGAGTCTGGTGAAAAAAACAGAATAACATTCTCAATAAATACGAATTCTGGTAGCAGTGATGTCTTAACTGTTATCTTTCTTCTTTGTCCGCTTAAATGAATTGATTAGTACCACATAGAATAATGCATTATGATGCTAACTAAGTTTCTGGAATTTGCTGTTTTGAGAGTGAAATGTAAATGAATAAAAAGTAAACAGACCCTTGCATATTTAAGCAAGACCTATAAGGAATACAGTATTAAAGGAATCAAAAGTACATTTTTACCTATGGACTTTTAGGAATTGGGTATCACTCAATTTTATCTTAAATCTGAATTCCAGCAGAATTTTCAGTCCAGCAGAATTTTTAATCGGCTCTGTTAGAACTGTTGGACACAGGGAAGGTAAAACTTAAGCACAACATAAGCCAGCCATGGAGGGGCCTCTTAGTTCTCTATATAGATCCTCCGTGTACTGACTGCATCAGTGAATGAGACCACTAGACATACCAGGAACAGGTGCTTGTCATCTCCATACCAATCGACTTAATTGTGTATATGACATTTAAGTCCATAAACATACTTCAGTCAATCTTTTAAACACATAGGCTTACAGGCTTGGTCAGTTTTTGATTTATGTGGTAAATGTCAGTTCTTAAGCCATCCAGGGAACTCTACAATTCAGTTGAATTTAAATACAACCTAGGAGAGAAAGTGAAACATATGATACATTTAAAACCTGCTTTATATAGCATTTCTAAAAGTCTTAAACAGTATTAAATTTTCAGCCAAAAACGTTTCTAGAAAACATTTAAATTTGGATAGCTAGAATTCTCTGATCTAGACCTGTGAATTTATTAAAAAGTTTCCTTTACTCTTTGGCTCAGAATGAGAGGAAAAAGTAATGTAGGATTATTATAGTAAGGGGCCCAGAAAAATGAAAGAGCTGGGCCAGAAAAACTCCTTTTTCTTTTTTCTTATAGAATATTGTATATTCAATGGTATTACTGCCCAAGAATAAGTGAGCCAGTGTCAGCAGTCCACAGAATCTTGATTTTTCCATGTCCCTGTGATCATATAAAATGTGCTATTTTTAAAAACTGTAATATTGACATTTTAAACTCACAGTATTTGCGATTCATAAAAAAATTTTGTCATGAAATGAAAATATTCTATGAAGGTATGAGTATATACTCAAGATCTTTTTACATTTATTATTCATGTAAATTATCCATTAAAATGTCTTGTGCCTAGTTTGTATCAACAAAACCTAACTACAAAAGACCCCACTATAAGATTAAATTACACAATAGTTAATTATTAAATAATTTACTCTTAACTTCTCCCTCATTTTTATTACAGATATTTGAAAGATCTACCTTGGAAGCCACATGGTAGATGGTGTAGCTCTCATATTCTTCAAAGAATTTTCAAAACACTTCCACTACTTGACGTTACCATTGAAATTATCATTAGCAAAAAACACTCTGGACACAGAATGAATATGCAAGCCAAGTACTGGGAGAAAATCAGAATATGTGTATCTGACAAAGGATTTATATTCAGAATATACAAAGCACTTCTATAATTTCAATAAGAAAACCACTTAAAATCGGTACAGAGCACAAAATAAATATACTTTGGGATAAATAATACATTTCTAAACATTTAGAAATAAATCAAGTGACTTGAAGAAAATCTGTGATTGATTAATTTTTTTTGTAGCTATAACATGACTGTTGCAAGTGGATCCTGTTCCTCCGTGGTATTTCTTGAATCTAAACCGTCCAAGAGGACAATTATTTCACAAGGGTGTACTCTTTTTTTTGTTCTGTTTTTTTGGCTATCTTTAATTAAAAGTTCCAGGATCAACATAAGGATAAGCAAGGAATTCCCCCAGTTTGTTGCCTTCTGAATCATAGTGGAGCATTCGGAAGCAAACATCACAAAAGAAGCATGGGTCTTCTGGTGCAAAACTGTCATTGTTTGTCACCCATCTGTAGTTTTTAAAAAAGATGTATATACCATTAAAAGCAAGTTTTTCATGATATAACATGTAAGTTATCACCGGTAGTAATATATAAACATAACATTCCCACAATTGGCTTATCAGTCTACATTATTAATACATTATAATCCTTTATATAATTTTGTATACATAGATACAGACATATCATACTATCAATACTCTGCAAACGCAAAAGGGTATCTAATACCAAGAAACACTGCAGAATGCTGTTTCTTTGCAAGACTTCCCATTAAAGGTAATTACAGAAGATATAAATTTGTACTTGAGAGCATCGTACATTTGCCCTGACACATTATCCCTTCATGTAATTCAGTCATGAACATAGTCATGTTTTTCTAACAGGCCATCTGGAAAAACCATCAAATTGAATGCTAAGGACCAGACACTTGCTTAACTTATCTTTTTAACTGGTAAATTTGTAGTGGTCAGTTTGAAAACTCCAACTGTTTTACCTAAAATTCAGGATAAAATGTTACCAGTGTAGAGTGTATACAAATGGGAGTATGGGCAACATTCAACTGAGACTGTTTTTGGCCTGGGATGTTACTCATCACAGTAAAATGAAAATACTATTTTTTAGTCTATTTGAATTCTGCATCGTGTGGAATGTTTGCTTTTAAAATTCTCTTTCATTTTTGATACTGATTTATCATGACTTTGTATTGATCTTTTAGAAAAATATATTGTAATGGGGAACTCAGAACAAATGGAAGATACTAAATTCTTCCCTATTCCTGAGTGGTTTTCAAACTTTTTTGACTCTGAACTCAGAACAAATGGAAGATACTAAATTCTTCCCTATTCCTGAGTGGTTTTCAAACTTTTTTTGACTCTGACTCACAGTAAGAAACACTTTATAATGTAAACATGCAGAATCACATAAAGCAAAAACTTTATAAAACCATATTTTGACTTTACTCTATGCAATATGCTGTGATGTTTTCTCACTGAAGAAAAGCTGTGGAGTGAAGCTAATTTTGTAAACTACAGATGCTTAAAAATACTAGTTTTAACCCACTAAACTGATTTTGCGGCACTTCCCTACTAAAAACTCTTCATACTATTTACAACCCGAAATCCAAGTCCTTAGATCGAAAATAGAAAACTGAAATACAAAAATATTGAACTTTGAAAACCAATACTTCTCAAAAAAAAAAAAAAGTATCACTCACCTAGCTGTGTACATTTTACAAACAAAACATTTTCTGGTCCATAGCCAGTGCTTCTTTATAAGAAGGGGATAAAGTGTCTTATCCAAGCAGTCATCATGATGCACAAGCCTTTTGTACATGAGAAAATAAATGAAGATATTAAAGTGTATATTTTTATGATCTGTAAAGAATTAAATATATCTGTACCTCAACATTAGGAACACAGAAGACATATTTTCCAATTTTTGCTTACAGAAGATTTAGGTACACTGATTTTTTACGTCAGGTTTGACCAAATGGTGTTTTATAAGATACTTTCTCCAAAAGAGCATTTGTGGATTGAACAACGTTTTCTTTCCCATAAGACCTCCCAAATCCATTTATGGTCATGTGCACTGTGATCCTCTAAAAGGGAACTGGCAGCATTTCTTAATCCTTGCTTTCTTGACACTAGTTCCTTTTTATGGAACATAGTTTGGGCAAGGCTACTCAGTGATATTTTATCTTTATTTATTGTCCCCTTTATTAAAATCCATATCTGGCTCCTGGTAGTATGAATTAGTAGGATCTTGGTTTTAGGTACCAGAATCATGGAACTTTTAAGAAATTATAAGTGGAAGTTAGTCTCCACTCTGCCACTCATCAGCTACATGGCTCAGGTAAACACCTAAAAACATGAAGGCTCAGATTCCTCATCTGAAAAATGAAAGGACTGAACAGGATTACTCTAAAGGTCCCTGAAAATTCTAAAATTCGATTTTTTTGTTTTTATTTTTTCAGTAAAGGGTAGCAATGTATTAAACTTCGCCATTAGAAAGCGATTAAACTTTTGATAGTTGGTACTGTGGAATGACACAGAATGATTAAATCCACCTGTAAAAAGAAAATGAGTTCTCAGCAAAGTCCCACATTGCTCTCTCTTAAGTGTTAGTTGCTTTTTCTCTAGCATTGAAACATCATTGTTTCTTTTGCTGACCACTGCATCAAGATGCTGCCTTGAGTTTAAGGGCCACGTTTTATACTTCAGCCCCGGAATGACAGTTTACAGCAATATGCCTAAACTACAAGAAACAAGGCCATCAGAGAATAGTGGATTGTCTTCCATCTTATATTTATTATGAAGCAGGCACATTCCCCCTCATTTGAGTGGAAAAGCAGGCAGAATAACTTATATAAAATTTTAATGACATTATCAAAGACATTAAATACTATCAAGTACTATTTAATATAATAGTCACATAAATCTGAGGTTTAGAAGCTCTCCTGGCTCTTGCCTTGCTATTCTTCCCTAAGGGCAGCTGTTTTCCATTCTTAACAGTTTCTTTAGAATTCAGCTCAACTTCCCTCTATAGAACTATGAAGGTACTTCAAAAAGTTTGTGAAAAAATGAAATTAAAAGATAATATGAATTTTTCCATGAAGTTTCTGAAAACCCCTCTACTATATAACCTTTGGTTAAATAGATATTTAATGTTTAAATTATGACGAATTAATACTACTTCCACAAAGGCCCCACAACTGACTACACATTCCTTTTATTGTATAACATTTTGTTTTCCAGCTACTAATTCTCTCCTGTTCACATCTGCTTAATTTTCAATGTACCTATCACTAATTCAGTTACCAATTTTCTTTCTTTCTTTTTTTTTTTTTTTTGTGACCGGCAACGGGATCGCAACCCTCGGCGTTTGCTCCTGCACCTCGCTCAGCCAGTGAGCGGGAACGGTCTGTATGTGGGATCCGAACCCTTGGCGGGAGCGCCGCTGCGCTTCCCAAGCAGCGCACTGTAGCAGTGCGCCACTGGGCCGGCCCTCAGTTACCAATTTTCTTACAGAAAAAAATGGTCTCTCAGAAAGCCTCAAACTAGCAATAAAGTAGGGTGTATTTCTACATATTGGTCCTTCTTAAACTAAGATTTCCTAAATAAGAGGAAATGAATAGCCTTATTCATGAAGAATAGAGATATCAGCTATATGAAACGTATAACAAATCCCAAATCTCATTTCAGACTATTACAGCTCCTTCCCAATATAAATCTTTATCAAAGCATTAAGACTTCACCTTTGTCAAATACTGGAATTACTCCTCTCTTCCCCCAGTTACCTTTTCTCTCCTTCAGATTTTGGCAAAAAGAAACCTAAAAATATAACTGCAAATGTGCAAAACAAAGGGCCTGTATGTTATACAAAATAGATGCCTACTACTTGAATTACAGCTGTTTAATATACAAAGGGGATATTTTAAAAAGTATTTACAGATCGAATAAATAGTAAAGGATTTTTAAATTTTCCAAAAAATGAACAATAGAGGATGCAAATGGATGCAAAGAGTTGTTCAATGCATGGAAAGCAGACACTTATTTTTGCTGTTCCCAAGCCAAGATGCATTACTTTAATTCCTCTTATAATTTTTTAAAAACTATCTGTGAGGGGCTGGCTGGTTAGCTCAGTTGGTTAGAGCATGGTGCTGATAACACCAAGATCCAGGGTTCAATCCCTGTACTGGGCAGCCAACAAAACAAAACAACAAAACTATCTGTGCTTTTTATACTATTAGGTAAACAGAAGAAAAGCAGAATAACAAAATGTTCTGAGTGCTGCCACCTACCTTATGTCAGTAATGACAACAACATGTTCACAGTCACCCTGGTGACAGTATAAGTAAGGAAAACCCAGTTTAATATACAAGTCATTGAAGGTGAAATCTTCCATTCTAGCAGTCTGAAACTTGCCATAGCCTCTATCACGGGCCTCTGACCACTCAATGATAGTTCTGAAGGGGGGAAAAAGGCAAGAATATATCATTGCTCCACAAAAACTTAAAAATTAAAGAAAAGGGTTTGTGACTGTAGTATTTCACATAACCTGGCTCACCCAATTAACTTCATCTTGAGATGAAGACCACAGTGGCTGACACATGTTGGAATTAGGAACACCTAACTTTCCTTCATATAATTAGAGCAGCAGTTCTCTAAGTGTGGTCCCTGAGGTCAAAATTATCTTCACAATGATACTAAGATTTTCTGCCCTTTTCACCTCTTAGCCTCTCATAAGTAATTGAGCAGTTTTCTGGAGGTTACATGATGTGTATCACTTCAGCTTGAATAGAAAATGTATAACAATGCTATTCTCACAATTTTATTTTGAAAAATAGGTATTTTTCACAAAAATGCTGACATGCAATAAGATTACTTAATATTTTAAATATTCCTTAGTTTCAATGTCCAATATGGTAAATATTGATAGCGATAACTCACATAAGCATTAGCTCTTTGGGGCCCTCAATTATTTACACTATAAAGGAGAGCTAAGACCAACAAGTATGAGAACTGTTACATTAGAATATAAATAAAAAATCGCTATAATGAAAGAGAATTGATATAAACATTCAGAAAAAATTTACAGGTATACTCTAATTGCTAGGACACTCATGATAAGAGTATGGTCTCATTAAAATATTAGATATGGATTTTTCATATGTACTTAAGGAACATAATATATGCATACATCCATTCACCCAGGACAAATAACAGTATATATTAGACAAGCAGAAGAAAACAGTGAAAGATTAATTCACCACTATCACTTAAATATGAAGACGGATTAATAAAATGTTCTAGTGGGATTTAATTTTTTTAGACGCATGTAATGCTCAATACAAGATTTGTAAAACTTCCTTGGCAAAGATACTTAACAGACCAATAAAAGAGTGCTTGCTTTGGCAATGTATATACTAAAATTGTAATGATACAGAGAAGATTTGTATCTCATGAATATTCATAATAATAATAAAAAAATAAACAGACCAATAAAAGAATTGGTGGAAATACCACTATTTTTGAGAACTAGAAATAAGAAAGACTTTGAGAAGATTTTTGGAAACTATACCTGCTCAAATCTCTACATTCTGGATATCTTTTATCATTGTAAAATGTTCCTTCAAAATAAAAGAAGGCTGATTTGTATAGGTCCTACAAGAAAACAGATGATATTGAGAGAAAGCCTATTATTAACGATTATGAAATTGCTCTAAGTATTACTAGAAAATATCACTAGTTTTGATTTAAATTTATATATTCTCCTGAGATTCATGAAAGGAACTCAATTAGAAATCAAACTTCAAGGACTGGATTGTGGCTCACTCGGGAGGGTGTGGTGTTGAAAACACCAAGGCCGTGGGTTCAGATCCCTGTGTAAGGATGGCCGGTTAGCTTACTTGGGAGAGCACGGTGCTGACAACACCAAGTCAGGGGTTAGGATCCCCTTGTTGGTCATCTTTAAAAAAATAATAATAAAAAGAAATCAAGCTTCAATATTATTTTATTATATGCATACATAGCACTGACAGTTATTTTGGATACTAGAAGTAAAAACTAAACGAAGTCATATCATTGATGTTCCCCCAGTGATAACAATGATCATTGAGTTATGTTTCTCTGGCATTTTTTTTTTTTTTTTTTTGTATTTTTAATGTGTTTTTACAAAAATCCTCTCTCTATATTTTCAGCAGCTCTTAGGCAAACAGAATGTGAATTTCTATTCTTACTCAAGCAATCTTGCCCCTGGTACCATAATAGTTGCACAACTGGTCTGAACCCTTAGGTTTCTTAACTTCTATTTTACAATAATTTTTCATCAAAAAGGTTGCTCTTAATCCTGACTGCATAATAGAATCACAAAAACACCAAAGACCAAGATTCACCTCAGACTCATTAAATAAGAATCTTTGAGTCGCAACCCTCAGTGTCGCCCCCGTACCGGACCGGGACCAGCAACGGGATCGCAGCCCTCGGTGTTGCTCCCGTGCCTCGCTCAGCCAGTGAGCGGGAAACGGTCTGCACGTGGGATCCGAACCCTCGGTGGGAGCGCCGCCGCGCTTCCCAAGCGGCGCACTATAGCAGTGCGCCACCGGGCCGGCCCTAGACATAAGGTTTTGAGAAAGATTTAAATACACTGGCCCAAGACTCCTAGTCCTATCACAAAGAAAATTAATCAAAGAAAGTATTTTATTCAAAAGTTCGAAGGTCCTGCTTATTGGTTGGAATAGATTCTCATTTCCTCAGCTACAAGAGCTGCAACTCCCTAATTTGCTCCATGATTGTCAGTGGGATACATCTAAATATATTCCTGTCTAAAAGCATTAGAACTCAAGGACTTATTTTCAATTTTGTTTGGTGTGACAATGGCATGTGGAGAACAGATGAAACAATTCTGGCAAAACACAGAATTGCTGAAGGTGGGTAATGAGTACCCATTCATTATACTATTCTCTTTCTTGTCTGTATGTTTGAAATTTTCCAAGATAGAACTTAAAAAAAAAAAAAAAAAAGTCATAAAATACAAACGATCAATGAAATTGAAATCTTTCTGAGGGCCAAAAAAAGTTAGCGTCAGCAAAATCTCACTTATTTATATGCATTCACCTTTCTAAAACACAGCTAGAGAACCAGGAAGCAAACGAAACAGGTTTCTGAACAAAGATTCCACAAAGTCCATGTGTTAGAAGCTTGCTGGTGTATTTTAATCAGAGCATTGCTCAAGGTTTCATTCAGCACCTGTTCACCAAGTAAAGAAAAGGATAGGGAGAGACATCTAAAGCCAGGCATAATGCGAGCAACACAGCAAAGAAGAAATAACGTGAGGCTTTGAAGGAGAAATGACATGGATCTGAATCCAGCCTCCATCACTGCTTACTGAACATCTTTTTCTAATCTGTAAAATAGGGATAATTGTTTCCAAAGATCTCATACATTTGGCACATGGTAAGTGCTTAATAATAAGAGGTTATTTTAGTAGATGGAAGAAGCAGAAACAATATCACAGTCGATGTGCAAGTAATTAAGAAATAAGACTGGGTCATTTAGTTCCTGCTTAGAAAATTTCTGAAGGCATCAGCACCAATGTTCAAACACAATAAATTGACCAAGACTGGTTAAAAACATTGTCCAGGGTTTCCAGGAGGTAAGACCATTTCCCAGATCTTACTCAAAGTGCTTTGAGCAATTACGACATGGTTGGAATGAAGAAGGTAAATTCAGATTTTTCTTATTAAATTATCTAATTACTTTATAGTTACACCTTATTTTTTAATTTTTATTTCTTGGTAGGGTTAAAAAGGTTTGCAGAAGATTGCTGCTTTTCCTTAAAAGAAAAGATAAATCTCATATTTCCTGGACTGTATAAAGCCTTGAAATTCCACTTTTTATCCTAAACCACTTAGGTGGCAAGCCAGAACATACAAGAACATACATATCTTTTTTTTTTTTTTTTTTTAAAGATGACCGTAAGGGGATCATAACCCTTGACTTGTTGTTGTCAGCACTTTTATCCTAAACCACTTAGGTGGCAAGCCAGAACATACAAGAACATACATATCTTTTTTTTTAAAGATGACCGTAAGGGGATCATAACCCTTGACTTGTTGTTGTCAGCACCGCGCTCTCCCAAGTGAGCTAACCGGCCATCTGTATATAGGGATCCAAACCCATGGCCTTGGTGTTATCAGCACCACAGTCTCCCAAGTGAGCCACGGACCGGCCAGAACATACATATCTTAAAACCATTTTTAGTATAACTCAAAAAACATTTCAGTGTAATCTATGTGTGAGCCACGATGTTAGTCTCCATGCCAGTCCCCAGAAAGGCCGGAACACAGTCAGCCTGTGGGGCACACAGACACATACCGAACATTATTAGCATATTCTAACATGCACTATAATGAACAAACAAAAAGGTGCCAGAGTGGCAAAGAGAGGATAGTCAGGAAAAATTTTGTGTAATAGGTAAGTTTTGAGAAGGGCTTGGAAACATGAGTATGAACCCACCAGATGGATGGAGGGAGGAAAGGGCTTCCTACCATGGTCAAGCACTCAGAAGCATGAAAAAGTATGGTACACTTAAGGAAGACAGGCAAATTCATCGTGGCTGAAGCACAAGGTATAAAGAGGTAGGAGGAGTTGCATGGAAAACTAATGTGGGAATCACCATTGTAAAAGGGTTTATATTGTCAGCCTAAGAAGAAAAAGAAGAACTAACGTAAAACCTAAGTTATACCAACATTTATCTGCCTGGTGGAATGGGAACCAGCAAAAACAGAGACTGTGTTGGTTCTTGTCCAAACTCTATCTCCATTCTACTTGTTCCAAATATCTTTTTATTTATCTACAGGAGATGCTGCCCCTCTCCTGAAGTGAGACAGTAAATCTAGGGACTTCTGCCAGAGTTGCACCAGGTAAAAGAATTAATTCAATCTTGCCCAACACTGACATTGGAAAGGAAGGAACAAGGCCTTTCTGCTTTACTAGGTAAGCAATCCCTTCCGAAAACTCTGTGGGTAGCCAGTCTACCACTTTGCCCCTTTTCATACTTATTCAATGGGCACATAGGGTTTTTCTGTCGTTCTGAGAGCGCCGTACTGGGAAACACGAGCAAGGACCAACTTCATATGCTATCTCCCTGTTGGTATTGGTCCTTGGACTGACAGGTCCTTCTATGAGCAGTGAAAGGTGAAGAATGGGTGCTAACTGTTGAGGCTCTCGGGTAGACTCCAACCTTTTGCTGGGGGCAGTTATGACAGACTTAACTCCTACAGAGTTCAAAACAAAAGGGTACAGCAAAATCAAATGCTACAGCAAGGTCAAGGTGCATGAAAATAGAAAAGACCAATTGCTTAGACAATTAAGTGGCTGCTATTACCTCAGAAGGAAGAGCATCCAGAGAATGGTTGAGAAATAAATGAGAGGTGAAGAAATCAAAACAGACTATAGCCTCCTCTTTGGAAAAGTTCTGACAATAAAGGGAAGAAAAAAGGGCAGTAGCTTGATAAAATCGCATAGAAGAAGAAAGCATTTACTGGAATGTTTATGAGCCTGCTAGACTAATCACTATTTCCTTATCTTTTCCTTTTGTTTTATGAGGGGGAAAAAAATCACCTTACTTTGCTGATGTGCTCAGGGGCTTGGTCAGGAGTGTTGCTGAATTCTCCACCAATCTGGAGGTCACTGACACAGCAAATTGAATCCCTCAGTTCTGTGAGCTTTTGACTACCCAATACCAGCATTGTCTGGTATGGTTTGTGTTCTTTGTGCTAAAAGTTAAACAGTAAATAAATAAGTGTCCATCAGAGACAATTCAATTAGACCACAAATCCTGTCATAACCAGATCTAAATTATTAGTTATCTTAATTTGAATTATACCCATAACTTGGTTTTCTGTGTTTTCTTAGATTCTGTACTTATCTATTTCACATCCATTAATTACAGGGGCAAACTAATATCAAAGTTGATTACATCATCACTGCAATCCAGAACCCATACTCTGAAATGATCTCCTTTAACTCTCACACACCTAGCCAATATTTCCCCTGGTACCCAATCAACCTAAATCCACCCAGGGCCAGGTACCAAACCACATGGGACAGCCCCTATACCAGAAAGGTGGCTAGAATTATTCAAACTAGCCAATCCTAAGTTGTTTACCCTGTCCTTTCCTGCCTTTCCCACAGAGACCCCAATAAAGACTGGTCTATGCTCTCCCCTCTCTCCTTTCTACCTCCTGACCAAGACTAGTGCTTCCCCTCTGTGGCCCCACATGGAGGGGCACGCCCCCTCCTTGCAGGAAATATAAGTAAAAAAAATCTTCTTTCAATGACATTGGTCTCTCTGTGTCATCCCTTGGCCACCACCATAAATTAAAATCCCATGGGTACAACTGAGATACTTGGCAACAGAACTTTTCTAGTTTAAGTTTAAAGTTTATAGTCAAGATGCTACTAAACTGACATTAGCATTAAGAATTTTAGAATACAACTTCTTCTAGCAGCACTGTCTTTTAAAATTTCCTGGTAGTTACCTCACTGAAGTCAGGCAATCTATACCCTGTTCTCAGGTTATAAACCCAAAGGTTCATTTTTTGGTTTTGTTTCTTTTAGATCGGTAATTTGAGATCTTAATCAAATAAGGTAATTAGTACTAACTTCATCCCAGATGCTTCAATAAAAATCTATTTATTTATAAGATCAATTTATCTTATATTTCATTTAAGCCTCATCAGAATTTATGACACATCTATTTGGGAAATTAAGAATACATACATATACATACAGGATAGAGTTCTTTTTATTAGACTCCCAAGAAATTCCTGGATACCCCTGACTTACTAATTTTCATCAGTGAAGAGCTGTCTTTAGTTAATTCAATAACTTTCCAAGTATTCCATATTAGTGAACAAAAATCACTCCACTCCTCCACCAGCCATCTATTTTGCCAAAAACCCTCAAGATTTCATAGAATTAGAATCACTGTAATAACTGGAAAGTTATCTACAAACTACATCCCTGTATGAATGCACTACAATTTATTTAATAAATTCTTTACTAATTTGTCTTTAAAATTATCATTTTGGGATTATATATGTACTTTCAGTTGCTTTGGTACAGAAATCAGGTATACATTCCAATACTGTAACTGTAATCTTATTGACAGAGAAATTGTTAGAAATTTGACCTTATTTCCAATATTCCTTATTAAAACAAGGAACCCCAAAACACAGACTGTCAGCTCTAAAAATAAGATGTCAGACAGACAGCACATGCTTGCATTTCTTTTGAATCCTAAAGAACATTACTCCTCAAATAATTAAACCTTTTGACAAAAGTCACTCATATTATCCGAAAAATCCAAAAGATTTTACTACTGACCTTATTAAATATAACAGGGTACAGGATGTTCACAGATAGGATAAGCTCCCCTTCTTCAATCGTGTCTGCTGGATTTTCTGGTTTTTTTCCTATGGCATGTGACTCCTGAAGAAAAAGAGACCTTGACATCAGACACAGTAATTCAGATAAGAGGCAGTGTGGCACAAAGACTATCAGCAAGGGCTTGAGGCAGACAGCCCTGGGTGTGACACCTAATTCTACTTCAAAAAAATTTGTTAAAACCTCTCTAAGCTCCAGCTTCATCTTCTGTAAAAAAGTAGAAAATACTTATTTTACAGAATTCTTGCTGGGAATGTGTACATAAAGCATCTAGTAAGATGTCTGGCAGTAAGTGCTTAGTGATTGATGATAAAACAGGAATATCAACTAATCTTGGTGTAACACTGACATTTCTAGTTATTAACACTTTTTTACATACTTTATCTAATATTCTTACGAAAGCTATTTTACAGATATTCAGTGATTTACCCAAGGTCACATCAGAGATTTAGGATGCAAATACAGACCTGTTTGGCTTGACACCCCTTGCTTTTTATAACATTGCCCCATCTTTAATATATCATATATTATTATTTTTATTTATATTATTTATTTTATCTAATATATTATATTATCTTCTATAGCTTAATAACTATAAAATAGGGGCCACTAGGATGTACTGGTTGAGAAGATGCAAGACGTTTTAAAAATAAGTGGGAGTAATGTCACACAAAATGGCAGAGTAGAGAGCTCTAGAGGTCAGTCCCTCTACTGAAGCAACCACTAAGCTGGAAAAAGACTGGAATCACTATTTTGGAACTCTGAAACCTAATCAGACACCAACCAGGGGAGTGTCTGATGAAAGGAGAAGCTGCTGATCTTTTTGTAAGTAAGCAACATGCACAAACCAACTACCATCCCCATTCTTCAACCCCACGGCAGATGTGGAGATAGCAGCCCAAGTTCCTAGAACAGCTGGCTGGTGCCAGGGCAGGCAGCAGAAGCCCTGTCCTCCAAAAATTGTGTGCTGTGTGTTTTGGTTGATCTGGTGATGCCCTAAGGGCCCAGCTCAGATGCCTGCCTTGGTTTTGGCTCTCTTGGTATCAGTGGCTTTCCCCAGCAGTATCTACTGGAAGATTTAGAGAGGGGTCTTATTTTCTTTTTGAAGCCAGACATTTAAGGAAATCTTTGCCAGGTCAATGACTGGCTGCAGAGTTTTGGCTCTCTTGGTATCAGTGGCTTTCCCCAGCAGTATCTACTGGAAGATTTAGAGAGGTGTCTTATTTTCTTTTTGAAGCCAGACATTTAAGGAAATCTTTGCCAGGTCAATGACTGGCTGCAGAGATGATGGAAAAGAAACATCAGTGACCACACACAGCAAGCAATATACATGCTGCAAAAATAGTTTGGAAAAGTCATAGGCAGCTCCAGCCCTCAACAAGAAAAACAAACTCAAAATGACCAGTTCTCAAGAAAAACTTATAAAATACATGAAACAGGAAAATAAGAATTTGACAGGAACCAAAAATGAGGAAGCCCAGAAATTGTAATTACTAGTCAAAGATGTTAGTTAATTATTCCTACAGGCAATAGCTAGATTCACATATAAGTAAAAGTCCACTTAACCAAAAAAAAAGAAAAAAGAAAAAGATGTTAAATCGACTGTGTTAAATGTGCTCAGTGAGTTAAAGGAAACCACAGACAAATAACTAAAGGAAATCAGGTTCCTCAACAAGATTAACAGCAGATTTCTCATTAGAAATCATTGAGGGGAAAAATCAATGGGATCACATACGTAAAACCATGAAAGAAAAAACTATCAACCAAGAATTTTGTATTAAGCAAAACTATCCTTCAGGAATGAAGAAGAAATTAAGATATCTTCAAATAAACAAAAGCTGAGGAAGTTCACTACATAGACCTGTCCTATAGAAATGCTAAAAAAAAAAAAAAGTCCTTTACACTGAAATGAAAAGCTAACTTAAGTTACTTAAGTAGTAACAGTAACTTAAGACAGTAACTTAAGCCATAGGAGAAATAAAGAATGCCAGTAAAGGGAATTATGTAGGTAAATATAAAAGCCAGTAGTAATATACTTTTTTTAAAAAAAGAAAATGTAATTTTATTAATATTTTTTACATTCTAAGATGTTGTTGAGAGCATTCTAGAATGCTGTGGAACATTTGAGAGGGAGGGGGAGAGAGGAAAGGGGAAGGAAATGGATGGAAGGAGGAGGAAAGAGGAGGGGTGGGATTGAGGCCCATGGCTTCCCCCACATTCCCATAGTGGAGACCAGGGAGCTTCCAGCAGTGGTTTGGTCACAGTCGGGCTAGGTGCAGAAGTCAGGGGTGTGTGGCAAAAGCCCCTCGCTCCCCACCATCCCAGCTCAGGAACCCAGAGCCCTTCTTGCTGCAGCTTGGTGGTCATTGCTGGGCTGGTTGCTTATGTGTGGGGGGCATGGCCAAGGCCCTTGGCCCCCCCATCTCCCTGGCTTGGGAAAGCCTGGGGCCCTTCTTGCTGCAGCTTGGTGATCATCGCTGGGCTGGTTGCATGTGTCTGGAGGGCATGGCTGAGGCCCCCCACTGCCCAGGCTCGGGAGACCCTGGGGCACTTCCTGCAGCAGCTTGGGGGTTGCTTCCTGCAGCAGCTTGATGGTCACCACTGGGCTAGCTTCATGTATCTGGGGTGTGGCTGAGGCTTGAGGCCCCCCACCGCTCTGACTCAGGAGAGCCCAGGGCGCTTCCAGTGGCGGCTCAGTGGTTGTTGCTGGGCTGGTTGCAGGTGTCGGGGGGGGGAGGGGGGGGAGTGGCTGAGACCCTCATTCCCCCACCCTCAAGATTGGTTGGGGTGTCACTGCTGAGGCCCCTGACCCTCCCCCCTTTCTGGCTTGGTAGCCCAGGGGACTTCCAGTCCTTCTAGGTGTTATAGTTGTTCTTTGGTGAAATGAGACCTTTACTAATTAATATGAAACTCTGTCTCTGGTTGCAGGCATTTTGTTTTTTCTTTCAGTTCTGTGTTGGATTATTTGCTGTTCCCACCACTTAAACTCTGCACTAGAACTAATTTGTTGTCCTTTGCTTATTTCTAAAATGGGTAAATTTTCTGTGGCAACTGGTACTTGAGGTCTGTGGTTGAACTAAATTGCTGCTTTGCTGCTGATTCCCTAGGGAAGGCTTTTTGTGCAGCACAGGTTTTAATGGTTGACTTTATAGGTACTCCTGGCTCTCAAGAGATCCAGTGTACCTGGGTTGTGTAGAAACTCTGATCTAGGCCCAAGTCTTCTCATCAAACTGCACCCCATGCAATTCTATATTCCTGACCAGTCTCCTCAGAGTGGTCCTATGCTGATAGGGGTGCAGATCAGCTGTCCTTGCTGTGTTCCAGTGTTCTCCTGGTGGGCCCATCTCCCCCACTGCTCATGCTGCAAACACTTCCCATGGGACAGGCCATACACTGGTCCCTTGTGATGACTCAGCAGCCTCTGAGTGGCTCTTTGCCCCTATGTGGGAGCCAAGGCCCTCTTCTCCCCTGCCGCCTCCAAGCAACTTCACCCAAAGGGCATAGCTGCAGCTGTTGCTGGCGCCTGCTCCAAGTGTTCAGAAGCTCCAGCCTGGAAGCAGCTGGGACTCAAAATTGGTAAGAGCGTTTTTTTCTTTCTCTCATTGAGGCTTCTCCCACCTTCTTGCACTCTGTAGGTCTCTCCTCCTCTTCCCCTGAGCTCTAGTGTCCCCAGCTTGGCTGTTGTTGCTTTTCTATAGTTGTAAATTGGTTGATTTGTGGGAGAGAGTGACGTGGGGACCATCTATTCTGCCATCTTGACCATAAGTCTTATTATACTTTCGATTTATAACTCCTCTATTTTTCCTATACAATTCCGAATCAAATGAATAAAACAATATTTATAAATTTATCTTAATGGACACATAACATATAAAGCTGTAATCTGTGACAATAACAATATAAAGAGGGAAAGTAGGAGATGTATAGGAGCAAACTAATTGTATACTATTGAGACAAACTTGTTATTATTAAAACTAAGTTGTTATAAGTTTAAAATTTAATTGTAATCCCTAAGGTAACCACTAAGAAAGTACCCAAAATATTCAGAAAAGGAACAGGGAGAATCAAAATGGCACACCGCAAAAAAAAGGCAGTAATGGAAGAATTAAGGAATAAAAAAACATGTAAGGCATACAAATAACTAATTGGTAGAAGTAAACTCTTCCTTATCAGTAATTACTTCAAATGTAAATGGATTAAACTATCTTATAAAAAAGGCAGAGACTAGCAGACTAGATAAAAAACTTGATTCATCCATATGCTATCTACAAGAGAATCACTTCAGATACAAAGACACAAACAGGTTGAAAATAAAAGGATAGAAAAAAATATCCCATGCAAATAGTAAATAAAAGAAAGCCGGGCTGGCTATATTACTGTCAGACAAAATATACTTCAAATCAAAAAAGTTTACAGGAGACAAAGAAGTACCTTATAGATAGATGAAAGGTGCCATCCAAGAAGAAAATACACCATTACAAACAGGCAGCCAACAAGAGAACATGAAGCAAACATTGACAGAATGGAAGAAAGAAATAGACTGTACTACAACAACAATTAGAGGCTTAATATCCCACTTTCAATAATAGGTAGAACAACTGACAGAAGATTGATAAGGAAATAGAAGACTTGAACAACCATGTAAAGCAATTACACCTAACAGACACATACAGAATTCTCCATCCAACAATAACAGAATACAGATACTTCTCAAGTGCACAATGACCATTCTCCAGGATGGACCACAAAGTCTTAAATTTAAAAAGGCTTGAAATCTTAAAAAGGTTTTATGATCATAAGTGAATTATACTAGAAGTCATTACAGAAGGAAAACTGAAAACCTCACAAATATGTAAAAATGAAACAACACCACACTTAAAACAACCAATTGATCAAAGAAAAAAACACAAGGGAGGTTAAAAAATACTCTGAGACAAATGAAAACAAAAATACAATATACAAAACTTAGGAGATACAACAAAAGCAGTGGTGAGAAGGAAATTTATCCCTATAAGCCCCTACAATAAAAAAGAACAACATCTCAGTCAATTACTTAACTGTATACATTAAGGAACTAAAAAAGAACAAACTAAACCCAATGTTAGCAGAAAAAAAGAAACAGTAAAGAATAGAGCAAAAATAAGTAAAACAGAATAGAAAAAGAACATATGTAAAAAAACAATGAAAACAAAAATTGGTTCTTTAAAAATATCAAACATGGGGCCGGCCCAGTGGCGCATTGCTACAGTGCGCCGCGTGGGAGCGTGGTGGTGCTCCCGCCAAGGGTTCGGATCCCACATACAGACCGGTTCCCGCTCACTGGCTGAGTGAGGTGCGGACGCAACACCGAGGGTTGCGATCCCGTTGCCAGTCCCGGTCCGGTACAGGCGTGACACTGAGGGTTGCGATCCGTTGCCGGACACGAAAAAAGACAAAAAAGACAAAAAAAAAATCAAATATGACGAACTTCTGCCCCATTGATAAAAAAAAAACAAACAAACTCAAATGACTAAGATCAAAAATAAAAGTGGATAAACTACTGATTTTACAGAAATAAAAAGGATTACAAAAGAAAATTATTGACTATTATATGCCAACAAATTGGATAACCTAGATGAAAAGGACAAATTCCTGGAAACACACAAACTATCCAAACTAACTTAAGAAGGAACAGAAAATCTAAATAGACATACAACAAGTAAGGAGGTTGAATCAGTAATGAAAAACCTCCAACAAAAAAAGGCCCAGGACCAGATGACTTTACTTGTGAATTCTGCAAAACATTTAAAGAATTCTTACCAGAATAAGAATTCTGGTACTTCTCAAAGTCTTCCAAAAAATATGAAAAGGAGTGAACACTTCCTAATTCATTTTATGAGGCCAGTATTATCCTGATACCATAGCCAGATGAAGACGCCATAAGAAAAGAAAACTATAGGCCAATATCCCTTATGAATATGAATGCAAAAATATTCAACAAAATACTAGCAAACCAAATTCAGCGGCATTATTAAATGGATTATACAAGAGTATTTCAAAAGGCTCATGGAAAGATCCAGACTACCTTTTCATTCCATTTTTCTACAAACTTTTTGAAGTACCTTTGTACATCACAACCATGTAAGATTTATTCTCAGAATGCAAGGGTAGTTCTTTTTTTTTTTTTTTGTCTTTTTCGTGACCGGTAAGGGGATTGCAACCCTTGGTGTGGTGTTGACCGCACCGGCCATTCCTATATAGTATCCGAACCTGCGGCGGGAGCGACATTGCGCTCCCAGCGCTGCACCCTCCCGAGTGCACCACGGGGCCGGCCCAAGGTAGTTTAACATTAGCAAATCAATCAATGTAATGCACCACACTAACAGATTGATGGTGAAAAAACCACATCATCATATCAATTGATGCAGAAAAAGCATTTGATAAAATATAACACTCTTTCATGATAAAAACATGAAATAAACTAGGAAGACAAGGGGACTTCCTCAACATGATAAAGGTCATTTTTGAAAAACCCACAGATGATATACTCAGTGGTAAAAGACTAAAAAATTTTTCCCCTAATATCAGCAAAGACTAAAAAATTTTCCCCTAATACCTGCAACTAGACAAGAATGTGCACTTTCTCCACTGTCATGTACAGAGTACTGAAAGTTCTAGTGGAAGGAAGGGAGGGAGAGAAGGTGGCTGGCAGCTCAGGGGGTTAGAACCCAGCGTTATAACACCAAAGTCAAGAGTTTGGATCCCCGTACTAGCCAGTTGCCTGCACTGCCCCCATCCTCCCCAAAATGAGATACCATTCACACCCACTAGGATGGTGTATCAGTCTGTTTATGTTGCTTTTAACAAAATGCCTGAAACTGGGTGATTTATAAAGAAAAATGAAATTTATTGCTTATAGTTTCTGAGGCTGGAAAATCCAAAGTTCATCTGGTGGCAACAACAATCACCCAAGCATCTCACATTGCAAGATGGTGGAAGCAGAGAGAGCAGAGAGAAAGATAGACTCTCCTCTTCTTTTAATGCCCTCAGAATAATGCCCCTGACCACCATTTTTAATCAATTCACTACTGCACAGTCCTACAATCCAATCACCTCTTTGAGGCTCCACCTTTCAATTACCGTAACAGGATTTCCCACCCTCTTAACAGTCACAGTGGAGGCCAAGTTTCTGATACATAAAACTCTGGAGATAATTCAAGCCTCAGTGAGTTTTGGGGGCATGTAATCCAATCCACTACAGATGGCTATTATATGAAAAAAATAATAACAACAGGAAATACGTGTTGAGAAGTACATGGAGAAACTGGAACCTTCATGCACTGCTGATGAGAATGTAAAATGGTGCAGCTGCTATGAAAACAGTTTGGTGGTTCCTCAAAATCTTAAAAAATAGAATTACTATAGGGTCCAGTAATTCCCCTCCTAAGAATAAGCCCAAAAGAATTGTCAACAGAGACTCAACCAGATATTTGTACACCAATATTCACAGCAGCATTACCACTAAGGCCAAAAGGTAGAAACAACCCAAATGTCAACCAACAGATGAGTAGGTAAACAAAATGTGGCGTATACATACAATAGAATGTTAATCAGTCATAAAAAGGAATGAAGTTCTGATACATGCTATGACATGGATGAACCTTTAAAACATTACACTAAGTAAAATAAGCCATATGCAAAAGGACAAATATTATATGATTCCACTTATGTGAGTTATCTAGGATAGGCAAACTCAGAGAGATAGAAATAGAACAGAGATTACCAGGGGCTGTGGGAGGGGAGACTGGTGAGTTATTGCTTAACGGATATAGAATTTCTGTTTGGGATGACAAAAAAAGTTCTGGAAGTAGTGGTGATGGTTACTCATTGTGAATATACTTAATGCCATTTAGTTGAACATATAAATATGGTTAAAATGATAAATTTTATGTTATGTAAACTTTACTGTAATAATATAAAAAAGTGATTCTTATGCTTGTCCAAAGTAAGAAGAAAAATGAATAAATAAATAAATAAATAAAACATTAAGAAAAATAAGTGGGAGAGATAATAGGTGCCCTTATGTACCATTAAGTGTCCAGCACAGTGTCTGGCACATAGTAGGTTCTCAACACATTCAGCTCCTAACTCCTCAAAACTCACCACCTTAAATTTTTCTTAGGGCTTTACACAAGAGATAATGGAGTAGGATTAAGAACGTAGTTAAACCAAAATCAGGAGCAGAAAAAAAGTTCAGAAATAGTGGTGAAAAGGCACAAATTTAGCCTAATACTGACAGCATGACCAAACTAAGAGCAAAAATAAAGACAGACCTGAAAGACTCAGATATGCAGCCACTTGAGTTCTGTGGGTCCTTTTCTCTCATTAGCTCCCATTCCAAATGGAGTTTCTCTAGTTTGTTTTCAGATAAGCATATCCAATATAAAGCTATCATCCAGTCATCACTAACACTCAGCCAATGACAGAGAGTTTACTATTTCATGGGAAAAGGGTAAAAAGATGAGACTCTTACCATTTCATAAGCAAATGTTTCTTGTCTGCAGACACGATCTATTGTTATGGTTTCTTCTCGATGTTCCAGGAACTTCTTTCTAGCCCTGTTGCAGATACAAGAAAAATCAAAGTTCAACATCCTTTACTGGGGCCTCAAAAACATCTTTAGTATTTAACTTTTGGGGCCGGCCAGTTAGCTCAGCCACCATGTAACACTAAGTTCAAGGATCTGGATCCCTGTACCACTCAGCACCAAAAAAAAAAAAAATAATAATAATAATAATAATAACTTTTTATTTTGACCTAACTTTAGGCTTAAATAAAAGTTGTAAAAATGGTAGAGTGCCCTATATCACTAGCTCAGTTTCCCAAAAGTTAACATCTTACATGAGCATAGAATAATTATCAAGAACAGGAAATTAACATTAATACAATATTATTAGTCATGGACCTTTTTCAAATTTCACACATTTTTAATTTAATGACCCTTTTTTCTGTTCGATTCCTATCCAGGATCTCACATGGCATCTGACTAAGAGAAAATAACAGATGTCTCCCTGAGTAAGGTTACAGTTTCTCACTCTCTTTGTATTCCGTGATCTTGGCACTTTCGAAGAGCTCTAATCAGTTACTTTGTAAAATGTCCTTCAATTTGGATTTGACTGCTGTTTCCTCATGACTGGAGTAAACTTAGCATTGTTGGCAACAATACCACAAGAATGATGTTGTCCTTTTCAGTGAATCATATCAAGAGGTTCCTGATGTTAATATGTCATATTACTGGTGATGTTTACCTTAGTTAAGTTCCTCTCTGCTAGGTTCATCCACTTGGAAGATAATTTCTCTTCTCTGAACTTGATTAATATTTGGGGGAAGATACTTTCAGACTATGCAAACTTTGTTTCTCTTCAAATTTTCACCCAAGAATTTTAGCATTCGTCAGTAGACTTTGTCTGCAACATTTATCACTGTGGCATATGGTCTCATGGTGATTCTCTTTTTTTCCTCCTTCTACATTTATTCGCTGAAATTCTATTATAAGAAAGACTTGTCTCTTTCCTCCCATTTATTTCTTTATTGAATCATCTATATTAGTACAAACTCATATTTTTTCCCTACGGGTTAAAATCTAATACTATCATTATTTTGTTGCTCAAATTGTTCTAGATTTGGTCATTAGGAACTCCTACAGGTTGACTCCTGTTTGTTAAACACGTCCTCATCTTTTTTTTCTTAATTAAATATTTGAGCATTTTCCTACTTCCTGGTACCACAAGATGTTCATGGCTCATCCTGTATTTTTCCTGACCCAGCCCTAGAATCAACCACTTCTCCTAGGAGCCCTAGTTCCTTTCTTGGAGAGAGGTGTTCAGAGACCAGTATTTGGGCATTAGGTGTTCTCATTGTTACTGGAGGCACTGCTTCTAGGCCTCTCAGCTGAAACAGGCAGGAAACATACAGAGGTATACTAACCCATGCATGTGCAAACATCTGTACTTCTGTGTTTTTCTGTTATATTTTTAAAACCATGAATTTATACTGAGACTTCTGGTCCCAAACTAAAACTGCAGGATTTATTTTAATATTCAACTTTTCCTTGTTTATAACTTTTCTACACAAGTAAGAAACAGCTCTCATTGGCAACCTATTAACTTATTTGTTCAATTCTAGTAAATACATAAAGTAGTTACAGAATTGCTAACCTATACCTCTGTGAGAAACACTAACTTATGAATAGTTCTTTTTCTCTTCAGCCCTACAACATTATATCAAGATACACTTTTATACAGACTTTGGTTAGTTCTTTCTTCCCCAACCTCTTCACTGTTGTTACGTCATTCATTTGTAATACAATTAGGTTCGTTTGATAGTTTTTGTATTCAATTTTGGGTTCCCTCCACCCACATGCTGGTTGGTTTTGTCTGATTCCTTTTGGGGTAGACCCAACTACATGCTGTCTGTAAGAGACTCACCTCACCTGGATGTTACTGATGTTTCCTTTGTGACCTAATACATAAAACCATTTTTTGTAAACGTGCCATACTGTCTCCATTGTCAGGGTGTAAATTTTATGTATATCTACCTCCATAAGATGTACATTAAAAATGCCCTTTGTCATGTTTAATGCTTGGGGGCTTGAATTCTATTTGTCTGTATTAGAATTGCTACTTTTGGTTCCATTTATCTCATACACAGTACTTTTGTTCAACCCTTTACTTTAAGCCTCTCTGAATCACTTTGTTTTAGACGTGCTTCTTGTCTCTGCAAGATTTTTGTTTTACAAGCCAAACTGAAACTCTTTTTAATTGGTTGCTAAAGAATGATGTATTTGGACTCAACTCTATCATAATTTCTAATTATATGTATTTTGTTATATTAGTTGTTTTTTTCATGAGATGAGTATTCTTTTCTTTTTCTTTTTTTTTTTTTTTTAGAAAATATGGAGGGGGATTGGTATTTCTATTTTTGTTTTAGTGGTTACTTTTGTACTTCCCCCCTGAGTATTCCTTAAAACCCACCTATTGCCCACACATTTTCCTCTTTTCTCCTCCCATCTTTTTAGTTGCAATATTGTACTTTGTTATAATACACAACAGTGTGTAATTAGTCTTCCACCATCATCCTTATAGTCCCGAAAATTTCCCAATCATTAATTGATCAGATGAAGCTCATCCTCTAGTATACTCCTCAGAAATGGCTGGTGGTTCAGAAATTACCCAAGTTCTTATATGTTGAAAACTTTTTTCTATAACCTTGGTATTTGAAGGACATCTTGGTTTGATATAAAATCCTTAGTTCACACTTCCAATTAAGTTTTTAAAAAAATACTACTTCATTGTTGCCTTGCGTTGTATGTCAGTTTTGCAAAGTCTGATGCTTTTTGGAATTCTGCCTTTGTAAGTTACGTGTTCTTTTTGCCTGGAAGCCATGATAATTTTATCTTTATTTCTGAAACCTAATAAATTTTACTAAGATATATCTCAGAGTTGATAATTCTGAGTTAATTTTTTCAGGTACCCAGAGAGCCTTTTCAATTTGTAGACTTAGTTTGTTTTTGTTTTTTTCTGTTTCCATTAAGAAATTTTCTTTAGATTATACTTTAAAATATTAATTCTGTTCCATTGCTTTGTTTTCTTCAGGACTCTGATAATATGAATACTTCTTTGCTTGTCTCCCACTCCTAATACTTTCTCTGACTCATTTCATTTTTTCCTTTACGTCATTTTAATTCTCTTGGCTGTTCCATGCCTTTCTTCATTGCTTCTTATTAAATTTTCATTTGAGTCTATTCTCCTTTGGGTAGCTCATAATTTACTCACTTATGAGACAATTTTGTCTTTTTCTTCCATTTCTTTCCTGTGTCAGTCAATTCTTTTTTTCATTTCTCCCTTTTCATCATTTCCATTCTCAGTTTTTAAATGTCTAATCCAAGGTGTTCTCATATCCTCAAGTGCTGGTTTACTCTTGACAGAAGTAGAAAAAAATTCATATGGAACCACTGAAGATTCCAAATTGCCAAAGCAATCCTGAGCAAAAAGCATGAAGCTGGATGCACTACACTACCTGACTTCGAAATATACTACAAAGCTATAGTAACCAAAACAGCATGGTACCGGCATAAAAACAGACACATGGACCAAAGGAACAGAACAGAAAACCCAGAAATAAATCCACATATCCACAGCCAACTGATTTTCAACAAAGGTGCCAAGAATGTACATTGGGGAAAGGATAGCTTCTTCAATAAATTATGCTGGGAAAACTGGATATCCATATGCAGAATAAAGAAAGCAATCCCTATCTCTCATCAAATAACAAAATCAACTCAAAATGGATTAAAGATTTAAATGTAAAACGTGAAACTATAAAACTACTACAAGAAAACCAAGGGTAAACACTCCAAGATACTGGTCTGGGCAAAAATTTTCTGGCAAAGACTTCTAAAGCACAGGCAACAAAAGCAAAAACAGACAAACGGGATTCTATCAAACTAAGAGGCTTTTGCGCAAAAAAGGAAACAATCAACAGAGCAAAGACACAACCAGCAGAACAGGAAGAAATATTTGCAATTTATTCATCCAGCAAGGTATTGATATCTAGAATATACAAGTTAAATAACTCAGCAAAAAAAGCCAAATAATCAGATTAAAAAGTGGGCAAATGCCCTGAACAGACATTTCTCAAAAGAAGACATACAAATGGCCAACAGATATATGACAAAATGCTCAACATTGCTAATTACCAGGGACATGCAAATCAAAACCATGCTGAGAGATCATCTTACGCCAATTAGAATGTTTATTACCAAAAAGACAAAGAAAAAACAACAACAAATGCTGGTGAAGATGTGGAAAAAGGGAACTCTTATAAACTGTTGGTGGGAATATAAATTAGCACAGTCTTTATGGAAAACAGTATGAGATGCCTCAAAAAACTGAAAATAGAACCGCCATATGACCTAGTAATCCCACTGCAGGGTACTTATCCAAAGGAAAGGAAGTCAGCACACCAAAGAGATATATCTGCATTCCCTGTTCACTGCAGCACTATTCATGATAGCCAAGACATGGAATCAACCTAGGTGTCCTAATATATGAATGGATAAAAAAAATGTGGTATATACACACCATAGAATACTACTCAGCCATAAAAAAGAATGAAATCCTGTCATTTGTGGCAACATTTATGAGCCTGGAAGACATTATGTTTAGTAAAATAAGTGAGGCAGAGAAAGATAAACACTACATGTTCTTACTCATATGTGTGAGCTAAAGAAAAAAATACTGAGCTTATAGAAATAGAAAGGAGATTTGTAGTTACAAGAGCCTGGGAAGGTGACGGGGGTGGGGGAGTTGTAATAGGGAGAAGTTGGTTAACAGATACAAAATCACAGCTAGATAGGAAAAATAAGGGAGCACGGCGGCCCTCCCGCCGAGGGTTCGGATCCCACATACAGACCGGTTCCCGCTCACTGGCTGAGTGAGGTGCGGGTGCAACACCGAGGGTTGCGATCCGTTGCCGGACACGAAAAAAAACAAAAAAAAAAAAAAATAGATAGGAAAAATAAGGGAGCACGGCGGCCCTCCCGCCGAGGGTTCGGATC